TTTAGCTCTGCCTCTCACTCCCGGCCCACTAAAGCTAGAGGCGTCCCTTCTTCACTCAGGCAGCTACTGGCTGCTGAGGCTGACAAGCCCAAGGTTGACATATAAAATGGCAGTTCCAATATTACCAAACCACATGGCAGGCTATTAACTTAAGTCCCAAGATTAGCAGACAATGTGGCAAGCTGCTGAATAATGACTCAGCTCCGTGCAGGATTCAAGTGTGCCAAAAGCTGGAGACCTTCCTCAAAGCTGCTTCTTATACACTGGAAGCAGACCACATCCCTAAAGCAGATAGCTACTCAGCTGCTCTAGTGGATTCCACCATGGAGTTAATTACCAATCTCACCATGGGGAATCACTACATCCAATTGCCCACCCACTCAAAACCTGGCCCAGCCAAGTTGACACATAACTTTAACTACCACACCAATTTAGGGGACTCTTCTCTCTCACTCTCACTCTCTGTCTCTCTCTAATACCTATACCTATATAAAGATCTAAATATAGATACACATACATACATATGTATATATAATCTTTAAACATACATACAGTTGACTTTTGAACAACATGGGGGTTAAGGATGTCAACATCCCATGCAGTCAAAAATCCACAGGTAACTTTTGACTCCCCCAAAACTTAACTACTAATAATCTACTTACTGACAACATAAACAGTCCTGATCATAAACCCAACTGCATTTGCACAAAATAGTAGAGCTAGCCTATCCCTTACTGCCTTAAAGCCTGGTGTTCGCTGTTCTTCCTTACTAATAAATGTAGGACAGTGGGACTGCCCTATAGGATTTCCAAGGCCATTAACCTTTAGGAAAGCCAACTGCCATATCTTTTTCCCATACAGTGGCTGGTGGATTCAAACTGCTAACCTTTCAATTAGTAGCCTATTGCTTTATCAATGTGTTAGGCTGGGTTCTCTAGAGAAGCAAAATCAGTGTATATATATATATATAGAGAGAGAGAGAGAGAGAGAGAGAGAGAGAGAGAGAGATTTATCATAGGAAAATGGCTCACACACTTATGGAAGCTGGCAAGTCCCAAGTTCCTGGATCAAACGTCAAGGTGGAGGTTTTTCCCGACTCACACAACTGCAGGGGATGACAAGCTCAAGGTTGGCAGGCAGTATATTGGCTGTTGACTCCAGGAGATGACAAATCCAAGATCACCAGGCTGAATGGTGGATTGTTCATTTACAGACAGTTGTAGGCAGCACAACAGGATCCAGATCCACAAAGAATCTGTCTTTTTCCCAGAACATCCATAAATATATTGGAAGCAGGCCACACCCTTAGGGAATTGGCTATTCAAAACATATACATCTGATCCCATCATGGGAATAACCATATCACATCTGCTGAAACCACTCAGAATCGTGGTCCAGCCAAGTTGACACACAACCACAACTATCACAACCACAGTGCCACCACGCCTGTTAACTTGAATGCAGCCACCAATATAGGCTACCCAGAAAGAAATAAAAAAGATAATTATACCAGTCTTTGGGCACATACTATTCATTTACATATATAAAAAAATAAATAAGTAATTGTTAACACCTACGGTGTGCCAGGTTATATACTTCACACTTGGAATTCAGAGATAAATAAAAGATGGCCCTGAGTCTCTAGAAGCCTGCAGTCTACTATAACATGAAACAAACCACCTCACAACAAAAAATGGTTTGAGGTTTTCATAGAGAAACAGGAGCACAAAGGAGGGAAATATCAGTTTTTCCAGAGTGTAGTAGGGAATCCTTTTCTGAAGGTGGCCTTAGACTGAATTGAAAGAGGAATGGTTATTTTGGTGGGTGAGAGTAAGGAGGCCTTCAGGGAACACATTCTGGGCAGAGGGAGCAAGTGAGCACAGACACCAGTGGGAGAAACAGCTTGGCCTGTTCAGCAAACTGGTTGTGATACATAAAGCTTTCACTAATTTTTGGGAGTAGTTCACCAGGCCTTTCTTCCTAGTCTTAGCCCACTGAAAAGTGTTCACCATGGGTGACCCTGCTATTTGAAATACAAGTGGTATAGCTTCCAGCATCATAGCAACAGGCACACTATTCACTGTAGAACAAACTGACAGACAGGTGGTAGTACAGATTATACCTAAATGAAGAAAATGAAAATTCTCACAACTGGATTGATGAACACCATGATAATTGGAGAAAAAATTGAAATTGTCAACAATTTCATTTTATTTGGATCTACAATTAACGTCCATGGAGGCAGCAGTTAAGAAATCAAAGGATCTATTGCATTGGACAAATATGCTACAAAAGACCTCTTGAAAGTTTTGAAAAGCAAAGATGTCACTTTGATAACTAAGGAATGTTAATCCAAGTCATGGTCTTTTCAATTGCCTCAGATGCATGCTGGCAAAGAATACTGAATATACTGTGGAACACCAAAAGAACAAACAAGTCAGTCTTAGAAGAAATACTACCAGAATGTTGCTTTTAAACAAGGATGGCCAGTCTTTAACATGCTTACTTTGGACGTGTCATCAGAAATGATCAATTGTGAGAAAAAGACATCATGCTTAGTAAAGTAGAGGGCCAACAAAAACAAGGGAAACCCTCAATGACATGGATTGACAGAATGGCTGCAACAATGGACTCAAACATACCAATGAACATGAAGATGGCACAGGACCAGGCAACATTTTGTCCTATTATGCATAAGATTGCCATGATTTGGAGCTGACTTGACATTAACTAACAACAACATCTAGAAAACCATGAGCTACGCAGTGTGGCTCTATGGCCTCGAATGCCAACCTCGTGTTAGGAGTGCATCACAGAGTGTAGGAGCAAGCAGACAGTTAAATTTTCAGCAAATTTGTGATCTGGATGACATCATGTCTACAGCTTGAAATAAATCATGGAGGGAGCATTTACACAATAGAATTCAACTGCTAAAAATCAGCTCCTTTCATTTCCCACTGATTCTGAAGAGTTGAGAGATTTTGAAGTTTTGTATTTTTACATAATAGTGATATTATGAAAGCACTGCTTATGGTTAATCTGTAAAAAATGCATAAGACAGTTCAGAGCAGAGAATGAAATTGAAAGCTGGGAAATGAGTTGGGAGGTCAGAGTTTAGGCAACTAACTGATAAGGGCTTGATAAAAGGAATGGAAAGAAATGGATGTTTTCAAAAGCCCTAAAAAAGTAAATGAAATTCAGTAATAGAGAGGGGGTTGGCCGATGCAGTGGGGGAAACAGGGTGGAAGAAGGATCAATTACAAGATAAGCAGGAACAAATAAAGATATAGTTTTAAGTGAGGCCAGTAAAAAATATCTTGTAATCAAGGAAGCCCTTGATTGATTGATCTTGTATCCATAAACTTTGCTGAACTCCTTTATTAAATGTAGATTTTTTTAAAATATATAGACTTATATATATATATATAGAGAGAGAGAGAGAGAGAGAGAGACACCATTTGACAGTAAGAAAAGACTTTTTTCCCATTTCCAGTTTTTGTTCATCTTATCTATGTATTAAATTGGCTAGGATTTCTAGCAAAATAATATAGGGTACCTAAGGAGAGAAATAATGAGATACAGCGATATCTACTTTTCAATATATTAAATCAGTGTTTCACTGAGCTTTATTTTACATGTTGTTGTTGTCATGTGCCGTCAAGTCGGACCTGACTCATAGCGACCCCTCCTTGGGTTTTCGAGGCAGTATCATTACGGAAGTAGATTGCCCCATCTTCCTCCCGAGGAGTGGCTGGTGGGTTTGAACCGCCAACCTTCTGGTTAGCAGTCAAGTGCCTTAGGCACTATGCTACCATATAGTCCATATGTCACACAATCAAGAACTATAATTCCACAAGTTTTTGTATTCATCACAGTACATAATAATTTGATAACATAATATATAATAATATGCTTTATTTAAAATAATCTAATTAATCTGTTTCTCACTTTGGCCAAAGATTGTACGATATCATAATTTAAACTATCCCTAAGATATGATGTCATTTTATACATAGATAATAAGCTAAAATACGAAAAGCAGGAAAAGAGAAAAATAAAAGATTCAGTTCCTAAAGCATTCACAGAAACTACTTTTCATCTTCATGTTCCAATTGAAGAATTATCTTTTGATAAGAACTCTAACTTACTGAAAGCTCAAAAGTCTTTGGAATAACTTTTTAAAACTGTTATACTGTCTTTCATAAATATTAATAAAAATGTGATAAAATGTAACTAAGTGTGATGATCTAATAAACATTAATCTTTTGAATTACACATTTTTCTCTTGAAGAAAGTATAAACATACTGTCAAGAAATGAAATACTGCCACTGAAAAGTCCTACCTAAAAAATAACGACCTTGAGTCTTTGGCTAAAGTGAACCAAGTGCTTATTCACATAAGGGAATTTTAAATAAGAAAAATAGTCATATTTTAAGTAATAATCTCTTTAACAAACAATATTGTGATATTCTACTGAAAGTATAAACCATTCATACTAATTCTGCTAATATTCTTCATAGCACTTATGATAAATTTAATTTTGAAAGCTAACGAAGTACCTGAAGAAACTAGGATTAGATACAATAGTCTAGTGCCAACAAAGTGGGTTAAGTGCTAAGAAATTCTTAGGCTAAAACAGATTTGTGTGAACCTCTGAGAATCTTTAAAATACATTTTTACAGTCATTATAAACTTATTAAAGAAAGAAATCACTTTCTAATCCTATTCTTAGGTTTCTCTTTTTGAAAAATTATCACTAATATCACTGATTCTCAGTTGACGTATATTGAAAATGAAATACTCATGGTTTTCAAAAAGTCCACAGAAGCAAATTAGTACATGATATAAATTCATATGAAAGAATCTATCTTCTGGAGAGGGATTATTGCACTTGCTTTTTACTAAACAAATATCTAAACTTATAATGAGGAAGAATAAACTCATTGATTATAAAATAACCAGTTCTAATGAATAAATCAATGACAAAAACGTTCAATGTTCATTTAAAAAACAGATCGAGAGTGTGTCGAGAATTGTTTGGTTTTGTTTTCTTTGATCTTGAATGCTTTATCAGTCCTGGCCTGGAATAAAAAAGAACACACAATTAAAATGCAGGAAGAGATTTCAAAAGAGTAAGTTCACAAATTATTGATTTTTAAAATGTTCTTTGACAATTTATAAAAACAACATTTAATATCTCTTAAAAATTAGACCTCACAGTGAAGGCAAACACTGATATATGAGTGGATAGATGGGTGCACAGGCTGCAACTATTTGGTATGTCTATGCAGGGGGGAGTGTGCTCAAGACCGTGTATATGGTTGGCAAATAATGTTTCTGCAAGTGTATTTATATGTTCTGTAACAATTCCCAGGTATATAGTAAATCTGATAAGGGACAAGTTGTAGTCACTTCTTGGCCACAGCCAGCTACCCAAAGAGACCGAGTAGTTGGGCTTGATGGCTCGGGAACCATGCTTGTAGGGCATAACAAACTACACAATAACACTGTTCCACATCCTACTTTGGCAAGTAGTGACTGGGATTTTAAAAGCTTGGAAGTGGCCATGTAGATGCAACAATGGGTCTCTCCTCATCCAGAGCAAAGAAGAATGAAGAAAACCAAAGACTCATGGAAACAATTAGTCCAAGTGACTGGTACACCATGTGATCCTCAGCCTATATGACTATGAGACTAGAAGAATTAGATGGTGCACAGCTACTACTGTCAACCACTTGGAAGGGGGATCTATGTAGGAGATCCTGGATAGAGAAGGTGAACAATGTGGAACAAAACTCAAAAACATTAAAAAAAAAAAAAGGGACCAGGTTTGCTAGTCTAATAGGGCCTGGTGGAACCACTGACACCATGGGCCCTAGCTGCCCTTCAGGTCTGGAATTGAATCCACTCCTGTGGCTTTCAGCCAAACAACACACAGGCATATGAGCTGGACATTTACAGTAAGTAGATACGCTCCTTGAAGAGATCAATCATGGGAGACAGCTTGGGGGATAGGAGTGCATGGGAGGGAAGGACACAGGGAAGAGGTAACTGTGGGGCGAAGTGGGAGGGGAGCTGTTGCATTGTGAGAAATTGCAGTCAATGTCATGAGACAAAGTGTATGTGACCTGTCATATGGAAAGTAAAATTGCTCTGTCAACTTTCACCCAAATCACAATAAAAATTAAAAAAAAAAAAAAAAATAGACCTTAAAATATGAGTTTTGTAACCACTTTTGTTAAAGCTTAAATAAACCAAACAAAAACCAAACCAGTTGCCACTGAGTTGAGTCCAACATACCTTTTGGTTCTTGTTACAGTGTCCTGTACTCTGACTGAGCTACCTATAGAAGGAAGATAAGACAAGAAATTCCGTAACAAGCAGCACGAAACAATTAAAAAACTATAAAAATTTTAAAAGTTAATACTGATTTAAGAAAGAAACTTCTTTAGTACTATAGTTTATATTAACACATATCAGAAATTAACTTTATAAGCATACTTTCTTTGTAATTTATTAGTTTTATTACTATTACACTTCTGAGGTGGTATCACTATGGAAGTAGATTGCCCAATCTTCCTTCTGAGGAGTGGCTGATGGGTTTGAACCGCTAGCCTTCTGGTTAGCAGTCAAATGCCTTAGGCTCTGCGCCACCAGAGCTCCCCTTTGGTTAGAGTAAGAACTACCAAACAAGTCAAAGAGGCTTTCCAATTATGTAGTTATAGTTAATTTGCCACTGTGGCAAATATCCTTTTAAGAAATTTCTTCTTTGATTCTATCACCTGGGTCCTTAAATCTCTGAGTTCAGATCAAGCCCAAACCAGGTTCTCCAAAAATTCAAATCTAGTGGCTTCAGTTAATTCTAACCTATGGTAAGGCACTACACAACCACCACTTTAATGGTACGTGCTTCAGATTTAACAACAATTTCATTAAATGTAATAAGACATATTCCTAAAAAATCAAGTTCTTTACAATGACTGCACACTCACCAGTACTTCTTGAGCTTTCATGGGGCTGGTTAACTGGATTAATTTTATCCTCCCGCAGTTCCTGGATAATACTTTTATTTAAGCAAACATCCACATGCCTATTGAACAGGAAAAGATCGGAAGTCTTTTGTTCTAGGTTACAAACAGGACAAACTAGAATATGGTCTGTTATTGTTTCATGTAAATAAGGCTGGAGAGATTCTTGCCTACTTAATGACCTATCATCTTCATTTTTCAGTGAAACAGTAGAAGAAGAATTCTGATGAAAGCATTTAATATTTAAAGACTTGCTTGCAATGCTAGAATATTCCTCTTTGCTGGGCTTATTACCTAAAGCATCTATATTTTCTCCTTTAGACAGGTTACCTATTGTCTCCACCAAATCTACACAGTCTACCGAAGTGATTACTGTATTCTGATGGGTTTCAGAATCCTGCTTCTCACAGACTGAAAGAGAATGGTACACATTTTCTTTCTTGTTCACTTCTGTAGAGAACCTGTGATCTTCACTCACTGAAGGTCCACCTAGACATGCATCCACATGTGTATTAAAGGCATCCAGACTGATGTTTTCTTGCTTCCTAAAGCAAACAGGACAGGTATATATCTGACAATTATCCGAATTTTTTGATGTTTCTAAATTCTCATTCGTCTTCATCTTTAAAACTTGGAATGGCTGTGATGTGTGTAAACTTTGTTTAGTCACAGTTTCACATTTAAATGTGTCTTGGTTCCATTTAATTTCTGATCTTTTTTTATTGAAGAAACTCTTCTTAGGAGGCATTTCTAGAGGTTTAACAAGCTGATCTTTGTCAGTGTTCTCTAGTATACATCCAGGGGCCACCAGGGCTTGGTTTCTAGTCTGTAAGAAGCCAATAATGCTCCTTTGTTGGTGTTTCTTTTCTTCTTCATTGGGAAAACCAGATATCCGCACACCTAAATTAAACCAACCACAGTTAATTTCAAATTCAAAAACTAATTTGCTCACAGTACATAAGAACATATTGCATAATACTATGGTGACTGCGATGATGGGCTCAAGTATAGCAGGGATCATGGAGCTGGCGCGGGATCGGGCAGTGTTTCATTCTGCTGTGCATGGGGTTGCTATGAGTCGGAAACGACTCAATGGCACCTAACAACAACAACATGATGACATATACATAAAAGCCTGGTTAAAGAGAAACAATAAGCATCACAGGGTATTTTCAAAATTAAAGGATGATTTTTGAAAGCTGGTATTTTGGGTATTATGGTGGTTAAGTTTGTGTGTCAACTTGAGTGGCTGGGCAGCTGAATATAGTTATTCCCCATTGTGAGACTGGTAATTAACTCCATGGTGGAATCTATTGGAGCAGCTGAGTAGCTGCTTTGGGTATTTGGTCTGCTTCCCGTATTTAAGAAACAGCTTTGGGAATGGTCTCTAGCTTATGGCATGCTTGAACCCTGCACGGAGCTAAGTCGTCAGTCAGCAGCCTGCCATGCTCTGCTGACCTTGGGACTTTTAATGGACTTGAATGAATGGCTTGTTGTGTGGTTTGGTAATACTGGGACTGTGCTTTTTTACTTGCCAACCTTGGGCTTGTCAGTTTCAGAAGCCAGCAACTGCCTGAGTAAAGAAAAGCCTCTAGCTTCAATGGGCCGGGAGCAGGAGGCAGAGCTGAAGCTCAAGGTTGAGGGGCTTTCTCCCAGCCCCTAGAGCCTGGCACTTTGAACTTTGACTTAAAGGCTCCAAAACTGTAAGAGAATAAACTGTTTGTTCAAGCTATTCCATTTGTGGTATATTCTTGTCAGAGTGGCACTAGGTAACCAGAACAGGTAGGAATTTATTTCTCTTTATAAAGCTGAGCATCATTAACTATTAAGTATCTACTAGAGTTGTCATGATTATAAAGGCTTTTTAATTAATAGTATCTGATACATAATACCATTAACTACCAAGTAACTATTGGTGTCAACCACACAGAGTCTTCAGGTTTTTTAAAGTTCCTTTATTTAATGTATTTCAGCATGTGCTATCTTTCATATATAAAAGAAAGCCCAATAACCCACTTTTAGTAGTAAAGTGGGCATCTGGAGTGCTTATCCATGTGAGTTTACTTTGGAAATATGGTTTGTTTTCTTTTGACCAGGTGGTGATTGGAGATATGGTTTACAGAGTGCTATAATCTCTTATCTATAATTCTGAAATCCAAAAAGCTATGAAAATTATAAGCAACAAATATGATACATAGTGACCAAACTGCTGGAGGTTATATACACTCAGTACGAATACTTTTTTTGTTTTGCTAAAGAAATATTAATGTATTTGATCATGGGGTGTTGCCCCAGTTACGAAAGGAATATTAAATCAAAGTTTTGAATTTTCAAACATGCTCTGTCCCAAAGACTTGAAATAAATAAATTAATTAAAAGGACTGTGAACATGTAGTAAGAAAAAAGCCACTCAACTGTTTCTTACTGTAACCAAATGAATGCCCACAACTTCACATGTATCAGGTTTTAAGAATTATGGTGAATGACAGCAGAATAGTAACCACGTCCTAAACAGGTTCAAGAATAAAAGGAAGTGATTTCAAGATAGATTATTTGGGAAATCCTAGCAGATTTAAGGAAAAACGAGAAAAGTTATACCCATAAGTCTTAATCTCAAGGGATGTGGAAAATCAGCATCAATTTCTGTTCTTAGCAATTCCTTAGCAATGGCAAATATTTCTTCTGCAGTAGAAACAACAGACGAAACTGTAGATGCACGAGTTTTTACTTCAAAATTCACGTTTTTCAGCTTAATGGTAACAGTTCTACCCTATAACAAATAGACTATGTCAGGATACATAGCTTTTAACTTCTAGCAAAAAATTATTCTATAGGTTAAAAAAATTCAGAAAGGTATCTTATGCACATAAAGAATATAGAAGTATAATAAATTATTTATAAAGCATGGTAATGAGGTTTATTATAACAAATAATTAAAATCCATAGGTAATCTAAAAATATAATTTTAATCGTAATTACCTCCTTCCCAAACAAATCTTTGTAAAAGATCTTTATATAAAGGGTAAAATTAACTGAACATCTTCCTTTTTTTTTTTTTAATTGAATTGCTTTTAGAGGAAGAAATCTCTCTTAAAAAGGGAGGAAAAAAATCTTCCTAAGAACTTCATTTAAAAGTTCTTGAATAGTTCATACTTTTTGTGTGCTTACTATATGCCAGATACTATGCTAAACAGTTTATGTGTAAGAATCTCTTTTATACTTAAGCTATGATAAAAGATTAAGAAAAATACACAGCAAGTATCCTGTTCTTTATAAGGTTTTCATACTTATGTATTACACTTTGTAAAACTGCACCTCTGGCTTGCGAGTGCCAGAAAAATGCTAAATATAGATGGTTGTGAGTGAAAACTATAAAACAGACAGTTCAAAGCTTTCCCAGCTTTTGTTCTCAACAATAAAACCACCTGGATTAGTAGAGCTTTGAAATAAAATACCCTATTCTAGAAGGTCATTGTCTACATGAGAAGAACATTAAAGGATAATTTGAACCAATTATACCAATTACTGTTGAGCTGGCTTGGACTCATGGTAACACCATGTATGTGAGTGTAGAACTGTGCCCATAGGGTGGGTTTTCAGTAGCTGATTTTCTGGAAGTGGATTGCCAGGCCTTTCTTCTGAGGCATTTCTGAGTGGACTTAAACTTTCAATCCTTCAGTTGGCAGTTAAGCACATTAATCATTTGTACCACTTGGGAATGGGAAATCATTGCCTTATCTTATTCCCTAATGCCAATAAAACTCTAATTTTGAACTTACTCAAATCTACTCTCAAGGTGGTATGACTTCTCTGGAATTATTTTGGAACCACTTGCACCTCACACGTTGCTTCCCCATCCTAGGCCTCAAGTAAGGGTCAGAATTAAATTTGTCTCTGATTGTTGACAATGAGAACATTTTCTTTCTGTCATTTTTCAATTTGTATTCAATTTAAGAAATGAGTAATCTAACTCCTACTTTACGTAGCTTCTCATTGTTAACATTTTTAATAGCACATCAAATAAAGTACCTTAAGTCCTTCTTTCTGAAGATCTTGAGCAAGCTCACTGCAAAGCTCTTGGCACAAGCTGTACTGTTCTTCTGCTTTACTTATCTCACTGAATGTCCTAGAAAGACAAGAGTGATTTTGGTGCACAAAGTAAACTGTAATTCAGGATAATTTAGGAATGGTACAGTACATTTAAATGGCCTAGCATTAACTTATATTTTCTGCAGCACACAATGAAACTTTCAGATGTACTAAGATAATAATGACATTAAATAAAAACTAAGATCTACCTAAATAATGGAAATCCATTTAAATAGATAAGTTAATTTGCAAAGATGTATGCTGTTGTTTATGCTGTTGCTTTCTCTATATTATATATATATATATAAAATATATATATATAAATACAATTCAAGTCACCAATAGACCATGATAATGTCCCCAGAACTTACAACGCATTGAGTATATCTGTGTACAGACTTTGTTACAGGGGATTATCCTAAGAAAATATAGATGAGAACACGATTCCAATTATTACACATGTGTTTTCTGGAAGTGAATTCTCTCCAAAGTAGATTTAAGATGCTGATGCAGGGCACCTAAGTAGAGTTGTCCATTAACAACTGGAAATGGAGGGCTGTTATGATTAAATGTACAAATCTTGAATTCAGCTGCAAAAGAGTATTGAAAAAAGTTGAGAGCATATAGACACAAAAGTGGAAGAGACTAGAGAGAGATCAGAGTGTTAAGTACAAGACCCTGAGCAAATGACTACAGAATGAAGAGTCTCCCTCTATTGCAATACCCAGCCACCCAGTGCTCCTCCCACTGGCAATGTTGCTACCTTCTTATTCTTATGAATCCCACCAGAAATATTATATGCATAGATAAGCAAACGAATATATGATCCTCATTTTAATATATAAGCAGAATTGTAGACAATTGTTCAGCCCTTGTGTTACTCAATTCATCTTGGTGAGAGTTCCCTATGGGTAAATGGGGAAATAATTTCCTCATTTTTATACAGCAGCATAATATTCCAATTTAAGATGTAACAAAATTTAAGCAATCCTCTATTCATGAATATTATTTTCAATCTTTTGCTACCATTAAAAAAAAAAGCTGCAAGGAAAAATCTTGTAAATTATATAAAATGACGTGTGAGTACACTTGTTGGATGCATTTCTAGAAAAAGAATTATGGTATCAAAGTGTATGTGTACCTCTGATTTTGACAGATATTGCCAAATTGTATACCTCTAGTGATAGGAAAGGACCTCTGATGGCATAGTGCCTAAGGCATTTTGATTGCTCACCAGAAGGCTGGCAGTTCAAACCCACCAGGCACTCCTTGAAAGGAAGGCTGGGCAATCTACTTCTGTAGTGATACTGCCTCAGAAACTCAAGGAGGGGCTGCTATGAGTTGAATACAACTCTGTGGCAGTGAGTTTGGTTTTGAGTGATAGGCAAAATAATATCTCCCCAAAATGTCCGTGTCCTAATCCCTGGAACTTATGAATGGCAGAAGGAACTTTGCAAACCTGATTAAGAATCTTGAGATGGAGAGATTATCCTGCATTATTTGGGTGGCCCCAGTGTAATCATGAGGGTCCTTACAAGAGGGAGGCAGGAGGATCAGAGTCAGAGACAGAGTGTGGAAGATGCTATGCTGCTAGATTTACAGATAGGGAATGGGGCCATGAGTCAAGCAATGCAACTGGTCTCTAGAAGTTAGAAAACATAAGGAGACAGAAAGAATACAGCTCTGCTGATACCTTGATTTTTAGGACTTCTTACCCCTGGAACTGTGAGAGAATAATTCTGCGTTGTTTACACCACTAAATTTGTGGTAATTTGTTACATCAGCAATAGGAAACCAATACATCATTCCACTCCCCTTCAGAATTTTAGCCTTTTTCACTTTCATAGTCTTGTCGATAAAGTATGTTAGAATCTTTGCTGATCTGATGAGTGAAAAATGCTATCTCAGAGAACTTTTAATCTGTATTTCTTTAATTACAAATGAAACTGGGAATATTTTCACATGTTTTAAGAGCCACTTGTATCTCCTTTTCTGTTAACTATTTCCTTTGTCTATTTCTTTCCTTGGTTTGCTTTCTTATTGACTGGAAGAGTTCTTAGTATGTGATATGAATTACAATGCACATCCCCAAGTCTGACATTTTAATGCAATTTTAAAGAAGCCAAGAAGAATTTTCAGAAAAAGGCAGAGATCATATTCTTGTATATTAAATATTACTCTCAATAACAAACAACAAAAATGAAGAAAATACATTCATTAAATAGGACAATACTATCTCACTTTTAAGGAGCTCTGGTGGCATAGTGCCTAAGGCATTTGACTGCTAACCAGAAGGCTGGAGGTTCAAACCCACCAGCCACTCTGCAGAAGGAAAACTGGGCAATCAAGTTCTGTAAAAATTTACTGCTTTGGAAACCCAAAGGGGATCGCTATGAGTCAGAATCAACTGGATGGCAGTGAGTTTGGCTTTTTTTTTTTTTAAATCTCACTTTTGGATGCTTTCTCTTTTCTTCTGATTACTTTTTTGTAAATTATATTCTAAAGCAACAATTTTTATCAATGTAATTTATTGAATGTGTTATGTAAGCTACTCAACCTTTTCTGATCATAAATAATACATATGAAAAATGAACACAAAATTGTACAAGGGCAGCAATTCTTAAATGTCTAAGTAGAATTCAGATGATTTGAGGAGAAAATTGAGGGGCTTTTCAAAATGACACTTTTCCCCAAACACTGAAGTTCCATCAGTATTTCATTTGATATTCAATCAAGATTATATAGCATATAACTAGATAATCACTGAGCTCTCTTTCATCAATAATACTTTACTGTTTGATGTCTCTGCTCATTCATCAATATTTGAAGAACTCCCATTGTCACTTCCCAACTAAATACTCAACATAATTTTTCTTATAAACAATGATAGAAATTAAGACTTGGAATCCTAACATTATTGGTTTTCCACTTGACAGAAGAAAAACCAACATTAAATAATAAAACCAAACCAAACTCACTGCTGTGGAGTCTGATCCGACTCACAGTAACTCCTCTTTGGGTTTCTGAGGCAGTATCACTATAGAAGTAGATTGCCCAACTGTCCTTCCAAGGAGTGGCTGGTGAGTTTGAACCGCTAGCCTTCTGATTAGCAGTCAAATGCCTTAGGCACTACGCCACTAGAGCTCCTAA